AAAAATTTATTTCGTGGGCTCTTTTAAACGATATTTCCCGTTTATTGTCATATATTAAAGACCTCGGGTACAACAGTAAATTTTTATCACAACGATACATAAAATAGTAGAATAAAATTCTATAAACTTTGTAGTTGATCTTTTTATAACCACAAAAGCTCACAGTAACTCTAATTTTTTTCTCCTTTTAGTCCAAAATGGGGTCTGTCTTATCATGAAAAAGTTTGGTTTTCTCTTTTTAGACCCAAAATGTTTTAGTTTACTGAAAAGATTTTAAAACCCACGAATAATTGATTTTTAGTAAAAACTACTTGTAAAATATGACATATATCATCCAAATATTTCATTCTCGGGTAGTAGTATCCTATTATGGGCATTTTGCTCGCCAGCCCCTGAGTTATTTTCCTCTAAATAGCGAGTTCTGCTACAAGGGATTGTTGGACCCGGGTTTCTTCTCCTATAGGTTTGGGCCATTGTATGGTCAGGCCCAAAACCTGTATTCGGATCATCATTGGGCAACAAACTCCATCCGATATGTTAAAAACCACACCATACTACGTGGCTAAAGGTGATTCGTCTAATTCAAAGAGATTTATTTTATCCCCAACAATGCCCATTTCGATGTTCGCGTCTTGACCAAGGACTCGGGCAACGGATAGTCCCTACGTTATCCACATTTAAATAGTTTTCTTTTCTTTGAGAAAAGGTGTTTTGTACATGGTACCCAATTAAAGTCCAGATAATTTAACGTGGTCTGCTGGATCATTTATGGTTGTTAACCAGTGTGTGTTTTCCTATTTTAGGGTATGGAGATATCAATTGGATTTTTAATCCGGGAATGATCGGCGGTACAGTTACTCTTCTTGGAAGAATATGGTCACTTTGATTTCAAATCGGTAGAATACGATTAAGAAGATGGTTTTCACCATATCAACAATAATCATGAACTCTAATTACAACCATGAAGTTTATCGTCTTCCCGTTCGGGGAAATCTGTATGGTTTGCGATGTAAGAGATGGAACGAGACCATTGATCGTTTCAAAAGCTATTGGAGCCTCATCAAAAAGATGTTAGCCCAAGCAAAAAGATCTGAAGACGAAGACGAATGAAGAACATAACGGATTTGATAATCTATTAGCGTGTTTGTAAGGCTTATACCTACATATGGAAACAACATGTTAACATATCAAATAAACGAGACGTAGTTTCAAAGTTACAAATTAATGTTGGTTCGATTTAGATTGTGTGAATTTTTTTCTTCTTCTATTTTTAATATTTTCGATTAAAATTTTTCATTTTGGCATTACTATTAGATTTGAATTGTAGATCCACGATTAGCATAAGTTTCAGATAATCGCAATATAAGTTTCTGTGTTTGATTGTATTTCGGAACCTTTATGAATTGGTGCTTTGATGATTAATTGAAATTTTAAAAAATTCTTCTCATGTAAGTTATTCAGTACTCTATACATTGACGATGTTATAGATTCCTTTAAAATTTCCTCTAAATATGCTATAGAATGAATATTATGCATGTTCACATAAATCATTAGAAAATGACATACTCACTGTAGAAACTAAATGAAACCCACATATTTGTTTTTAGTGTGAATAAAAACATGATGAACTTGATTTTTAACAAAATTTACTGTCCATCCCACAAAATTTACTATCTTTTAGGGTTAATTGGCTAGATAACCTAAAAAAAAGTTATAATTCAAAAACTAAGCAAATACCCTTATTATAATTAGGTTAAATCCCATCCATTAATTTTCAGGTTTTTTGTTAATTTTTGAATTATAATTTTTTTTAGCTATCTAGGAAATTGACCCTATCTTTTATTCGAATATATCATATTCATATCCTAAGATATTGAGTGTAACATTATTAGTTAAGTTGTTGGTACTGTTTCTATGATGGACACCTACAAAAACGGTAATTTTGTACCGCTACGAAATTGCTTTTTTTTTTAACAATGGTTCCATTTGAGAAATGCATTACAAAATTCGCAAGAGACAATTGCAAAAATATCACTATAGGTTATTCATTTGCAAAAATACCACT